AACAACGACATGACGATAGAAAGTCTGAAGATGATAAAAGTAAAGGTAAGGAGAAAGAAATGGCTGACACCTCAAAACCCAAAACCGACCGAGTCTCTTTTAAAACCTTTCGTGGTAGCGGTGCTACTGAGTTCTTTGGGAAGGTTGATCCGTTGGAGGCACTTGAATGGATATTGAATACTGAGAAGGTCCTTCGTATCACCCAAGTGCTATGTGATGATAAAGTGAATTATGCAACGGCCATGTTCAAAAGTAGGGCCTTGATATGGTGGAATGCTACTTTTGCAGCTTTAAGTGAAACTGAAAAAGAAGGTATGCCTTGGGAGTCTTTCAAAACTCGATTTAACAAGCAATATTGTCCAATTGATGTACAAAAACGATTGGAGAAGGAGTTTATTGATCTTAATCAAGGAAAGATGTCAGTGGTGGACTACGAGACCGAGTTCAATCATAAAGCATAGTTTGCCATACGTTTCTTGACTACAGAACAGGAACGTGTAGACCACTTTATAGACGGATTGCAATCAGCGTCGCCAATCGTGACATTTCAGAGTTTGAGAAAGTGGTGGAATCTGCACGACGACGCGAACACGATTTGACACGCTCGGATCGTAATCCAGCTCCGCCAGCGAAGCGACCTCGAATTGAAGGTGCCATATATGCACCAACACAATAATTTTCTAGGAATTTCAATCCGATATATGCTCAATCCCAAGCTAGATCGCAACCTCAATCTTGGTCCCAAGCTTATAGCCTTCAGTCAAATGCTCCTCCACCCTGTTCTATTTGCGGTAAGGCTCATCGGGGCCGATGCAACACTGTTCGCCCTAAAGTTAGATGTCATGGTTGTGGTGAAGTTGGACACGTGAGACCGAACTGTCCGAGGAGGGATATGACATGCTACTCATGTGGTGCTATAGGCCATCGTCAAAGAGAATGTCCTCGCTCTAAACATGATGAAAGTAAGGCTTTTGTTCGCCGACCTTCTACTAGTGGTGCTCCTCGTCAAAAGGATGAGGTACTGCGCGTCCAGGCCAGAGCTTTTCAAATCACTGCTGAGGAAACTCGAGATAAACCGGATGTGGTTATGGGTATATTTCTCGTTAATTCTCATCCTGCTTGTATCTTATTTGATTATGGTGCTACTAATTCATTTGTTTCTCATATGTTTGCTCGATGTTTAAACTTTGTGTCATATGTGCTTGCTAAACCTTTTTACRTTGACACTGCTRATGGCACATCTATGCTAGCTGATAAAGTTTACAAAGATTGTGTGTTGCAATTAGATGAGCATGAATTTTTCGTAGATCTTGTACCGATGGATATCCATAGCTTTGATATAGTTATTGGTATGGATTGGTTGGCTAAGAATTGGGCTGATATTTTGTGTTTTCAATGCATAATCCGTATACTGAACGTCGACTATTTGTATGTTTACGGTGAAAAGCGTAAAGGGGACGTAAAGTTAATTTCTATGCTTAAAGCTCGAAGACACCTATCTAAAGGTTGTTCTTCCTATTTAGCCTATATTTTTGATGCGTCGAAAGAGGTAAAGAAAACGGTTAGTGACGTGCCGGTTGTGTGTGAATTTCTTGATGTATTTCCCGAGGACTTACCTGGTTTACCTCCTGATAGACAAGTTGAATTTCGAATTGACTTAATTCCTGGTGCAACGCCGATTGCTAGGACGCCATATCGTCTGGCTCCGGCTGAAATAAAAGAAATGAAGAATCAACTGCAAGAACTTCTCGATAAAGGTTTTATCCGACCGCGCACTTCACCTTGGGGTGCTCCAGTACTATTTGTCAAAAAGAAAGATGGTTCAATGCGTATGTGCATCGATTACCGTGAGTTAAACAAAGTAACGATCAAGAACAAATATCCACTTCCACGTATCGATGATTTGTTCGACCAATTGCAAGGTGCGAGTTACTTCTCTAAAATTGATTTACGATTGGGTTATCATCAACTGAGAGTGCGTGAAGAAGATGAATGAAAATGGCTTTCCGTACACGTTATGGCCACTATGAATTTTTAGTTATGCCATTCGGTTTAACTAATGCACCTGCAGCGTTCATGGATATGATGAATCGCGTGTGCCGGACAATGTTGGACAAATCTGTGATCGTGTTTATAGACGATCTTCTTGTATATTCCAAATCTGAAGCGGATCACATGAAGCATTTGTGTGAGATGCTTGAAGCACTTCGACAATAGCTTCTATATGCTAAATTTTCGAAATGTGATTTTTGGCTACGTCAGGTGCAATTCCTAGGTCATACAATTTCTTGTGACGGTGTGTCGGTTGACCCGTCCATAGTTGAAGCTGTAAAGAATTGGGAGCAACCTAAGAATGCATCTGAGATTCGTAGTTTTCTTGGACTCGTGGGTTATTATAGACGATTCATACGAGATTTCTCTAAAATTTCTGTGCCTTTAACTTCGTTGACCCGGAAAGATATCAAGTTCGAATGGGGTGAAGCTCAAGAGAATGCTTTTCAGGTGTTAAAGCTTTGTTTGTCAGATGCTCCTATTCTAGCTTTACGAGAAGGTAGTGACGACTTGGTAGTTTACAGCAATGCTTCTAAACTAGGTCTCGGTTGTGTTCTTATGCAGCGAGGCAACGTAATTGYATACGCTTCGAGACAGTTGAAAGATTATGAAAAGAACTATCCAACTCATGATCTTGAGTTGGCAGCGGTCGTTTTTGCACTAAAATTATGGCGTCATTATTTATATGGTACCAAATGTCAACTATTCACAGATCATAAGAGTTTGAAGTATATCTTCACTCAACAGACTTTGAACATGAGGCAACAACGAGCCATGGAACTGATTAAAGACTATGAATGTGAAATTATTTATCATCCAGGTAAAGCTAATGTTGTTGCAGATGCTTTAAGCCGGAAGATGTATGCAAATTCCATGTGTTATGCTATTACACATACGTCCGTGACATCCACACTAGTTGACAACATACGAAAATGGCAAGTAGAGGCTTTAAAGCTTGATCGTGTGAAACCAGAGCGTATAGTTGGTTATGTTTCGTATCTGACAGATGATAGTCGAGGACTTAAAGTGTTCAAGGACCGTGTTTGGATTCCAAAACCCAGTGGTTTTCGGGAATTGGTATTATCTGAAGCACATAAGTCGCGGATGTTCGTGCATCCGGGTAGTACAAAGATGTATTACGATTTGAGATCTGAATATTGGTGGCCGGGAATGAAGCGTGATATCGGCCGATATGTGGAACAATGTGTTACGTGTTTGCAGGTTAAAGCTGAACACCAAAAACCTTATGGTAGCCTTCAACCTCTCGATATACCGGTGTGGAAATGGGAGGAACTTACAATGGATTTCGTTACAAAGCTACCGAAGATGTCTCATTAGCACGACAGCATCTAGGTTGTCGTGGACCGTTTAACCAAAAGTGCTCACTTTCTGTCTGTTCGAGAGTCGTATTCTATGGATAAATGGGCACAAATTTATATCGACGAGATTATTGCACGACATGGTGTTCCTCTGAAGGTAATTTCTCATCGAGATTCTCGATTTACTTCAAAATTTTGGGCCAGTTTACAACAAGAACTAGGGACACGCGTGGCATTAAGTACAACCTATCATCCCCAAACTGATGGCCAGTCCGAACGCACGATACAGACGTTAGAAGATATGTTGCGTGCGTGTATCCTTGAGTTTGGTGGTAGTTGGGATATGCATCTACCATTAGTTGAATTTTCATACAACAACAGCTATCACTCGACTATCGGTATGGCGCCTTTTGAGTCTTTATATGGTCGTAAATGTCGAACTCCACTATGTTGGCGTGAGACGAGTGAGAAAGTGCTTGTTGGACCCGAAATGATTCAAATTACACATGATAAGATTCAAGTTATTCGGGAAAGGATAAAAGACGCTCAGGACAGACAGAAGTCGTACGCTGATAATCGTCGACGACCAATTGAATTCACCATGGGCGACATGGTTATGTTGAAACTTTCCCCTTGGAAGGGTATTCTACGATTTGGTAAGCAAGGTAAGCTTAGTCCACGTTTCGTTGGACATTCAAAATCATTGAACGTATTGGCAAACAAGCATATCGACTTGATCTTCCAGAAGAGCTGTTTGGTATTCACGAGAAATTTCATGTTGGATATCTTCAAAAGTGTTTGGGTAAGTATGATGAAACAATTCCCTTAGCTGAGGTGAAGATTGACGAACGACTGAGATATATCGAGGAACCAGAAGAAATTTTAAACGAAAGAATGGCAAATCTTCAGAACAAGACAATCGATTTGGTATTGGTGAAATGGAAGCATCATCGTGGTCCGAATTGCACGTGGGAGAACAAAGAAAAGATGCTTGCCAAATATCCCGAGCTATTCGAGAAATGAAGATTCCGAGGACAGAATCCTCAAAAGGAGGAGGTAATTGTAACACACACTTTTGCAAATACGTTGCAATTATCCCCTTTATACGTGTTTATGTGATCAAAACGTAAGATTTGGAAGCAAACCCGAATGCAATAAACTATATATGAAATAGTTGGAATCATCGTACGAGGCCCAGGGCAAAACAATTGGAAAGAAACGGGTCAAAAGCATCAATATCTACGTTATGGATACATAAAAATTGACTTTTATTGGAAGATATTTTTTGAAATATTTCTATTGTAAGTTGTAGATTATCTCTTTACAAACGCGTGAGCGAAAACCACATCAAAAACGGAGGTCCGAGCGGAAAGTTATGCGATTTTTAGTGATTAGTGGTCATACCGAGTTTTCAGCCGAGTCAACTCAGCCCCAACTCGTAAAAGTCGATTATACATGTTATTTACCTTCTTTTTCACCCAAAACGGACTCTCATCTCTAAAACTTACTACCAGGGGTGATTTTGGCTTCATAGGGGTGAATCAAGGTTGTTTCAAAGGGGTTTTGCTTGATTTTTATGCCAAATTCATCCTCCAATTAAGGTATAACTATTATATTGATTAATCTCTTGATTTGAAGCTAGTAAGAGATGACATCAATGAAACCTAACCTGAGTTATATTAGTAATATGTTGTATTTAGATTGGTTATAGCCTAACTAAGTTGTTATGATGCTTGATTGATGATTTGAAGCTTTCGAAAATAAAGAACATAGGTTGAACTTTGATCACATAAACAATTGGTTAGATGGTATTTTGATTGTTGGAATAAAGATTGAATCCAAAATATGGATTTTAGCCTATTTAGTTGGTGAATTTGACAGCACCAAATCTATCTGAGATGTTGTTTTGAATGTGCGATAACTTCTTAACCGTAGCTCGGATTTCTACGATTCTGGACATTTTAGAAATCTTATATGTAGACCTAAACCTTTCCTTTAGACAACTTTTAGAAATAAGGCCTCTAGGTTGGTTATAATTGCGTCTAAAAACTGCTAAAAAGTTGATTTTGAGCTGTGAATTATAGTGCCTAAAATGAGTTTAAATTAAGTTTGGTTAAGTTTTTGTTGTCGGATCTTTATGAAACTTTGGGAACATATTACAGGTGTTAAATAAGCTCACTTGGTCCTTCCAGAGTGACTGTTGGACGATGTTTAGACGTATATGGACGTAGAGCCTAAGTTGGCTCGATTTTTGAGTATCGAAAAGCATTGTGAGTTTATGGGGCTACTTAACTTGCTATTTGCTAGACATGTGTTATCTATTTGTTACTTGCTTCCACACTCATCCATGTTATGTATTCTTATCAATTTCAAGAGATTATTGACTATTGCACTCCGTCTTTCCATACGTGCTACTCGGTGGTTACTTTGTGTTTCACCCGGGGAGGCACGCTTAAGCCCATATTAGCTGAGATTACTCGGGTATGGTGCGTATTTGACCGTGTTAGAGTCCGGTCATTTTCCCTGCTGTCTGGGATAGCTCGGGTGGGAAGATCATTCCACTTGCCGGGATAGCTCGGGTGGTATGAAATCTATGATATATATTGTTGTGCTTGCCACGACCGGGATAGCTCGGTGGCAGTACATATCAATTATTGACCTTCACACGATCTAGTTGCATACTTTGATATTCTGATGTATGATTTTCGAATGATGATTACTTATTACATGATTTACATCCTTCGTGATCATTGACTTCCATGGATTACATTT